ATTATGTCTTCCAATATATCTGTGAAGATTCTCAATCATCCAGGGGAGGTTATCTGGAAGTTGAAATGGGAACTGGACTTCTTTCTTCTTAGGTTGAAACATTTTGTTTTGCTACTCATCCAAGCAGCTTCTTCACTCTGAGGAGAGTTGGTAGGAGATCCCTTATATGCTGGCTTCACTGAATAGGCTCATTAGAAGGACAAAGAACAGCAGTCCTTCTCCACCTATTGTCATGGGTCGTTAACAATCATTAACAATGGTCTTTCTGGTGTGTGTGGTTCTGACCTTTCTGGGGACAGATGAAAGGGCAGCAGGATCAATAGGGGACAGATTGTATCTAAGGCCTCCACCCATGTTGAATAGGGATTTCCTATATGCACATGTGTGGCCTCCTTGATTCCTCTCTCAAACTACCTATCTTCTCGGTCCAAAATGAGTACATCTTGGTCATCAAATGAGTATCCTTTGCCTTTCAAATGAAGGAACATGGCCAATTGTGGTCCTGAGCCATTGCCCCTTCTGTGCTGTGCCATTTACAGAAGGAATGACCAGGTTCTTCCATCAGCTCTGGGTCTTGGGCTGTTCCATTGTCCTGCTGGGTTGGGACACTGCCTTGTTAAAGGCCCATTTTGGAGATCCACAGGCCTTAAGGGCTGTTCTTCAAATTCCATCTTCCTTCTTTTTGGCTTCTGTGGAGGTGAAGATGTTTCTTGCTCTGTGGTTGAACATCCTGATGACCCCTCGTTTGTGTTGCAATGGGTGATGAGAGTCAAACTGCATGTTTAACAAAAATCCTTTTGAGCTTTTCAGACACACCCGTTACGGAAGGAATGATCAGGTTCTTCCATCAGCTCTGGGTCTCGGGCTGTTCCATTGTCCTGCTGGGGTGGGACATTGCCTTGTTAAAGGCCCATTTTGGAGATCCACAGGCTTTAAGGGGTGTCCTCCGAATTCTTTCTTCCTTCTTTTTGGCTTCTGTGGAGGTGAGGATGTTTCTTGCTCTGTGGTTTAACATCCTGATGACCCCTCGTTTGTGTTGCAATGGGTGATGAGAGTCAAACTGCACGTATTGATCAGTGTGTGTAGCTTTTCTGTAGATTTCTATTCCTAAACTGCCATTGGATCCTATGATGACTGCACAGTCCAGGAAAGCCAGCCAGTTGTCTTTGGTATTTGACCTGATGAACTTGATGTTTCGATGCACTACATTTCTTTCTTTCTTTCTTTCTTTCTTTCTTTCTTTCTTTCTTTCTTTCTTTCTTTCTTTCTTTCTTTCTTTCTTATTTCTATCCCGCCTATCTGGTCATACTAGACCACTCTAGGCGGCTTACAATCGGGTCTGTGGTCTGTGAAGACATGGACTTCCTGAATCTTGATCTTCACCCAGGTGTCGTCCACAAACCTGTACCAATGGTTTGGAGTCGTTCCCTGGAAGGTGTTTAGTGCCTTCTTTTCCACCTCTTCCATGTATGTTGGCAATAAGGAGCCATGTTTATGTCTGTAAAAGTCACCTCTGTAGGTGAAGACTTCATCCATGTATAAGTTGGCAATAATGAGCCATGTTTCTGTCTGTAAAAGTCACCTCTGTAGGTGAAGTAAGTGGTGCCCTTTCATCCATCTCCAGAAAGATCAGGATCACACACCAGAAAGACCACTGTTAACAACTGTTAATGACCCATGACAATGGATCATTAAGGCCTGCAGAGGTGGGATTTTCACTCACCCTCAGTCCTTTGTCCATCTAAGGAGCCTATTCAGACCAGGGGGGAGTGAAACCAACATGGAGGATATATCAGGGTCTCCTACTAACTCTCCTCAGACTGAAGAAGCTACTTGGATGAGTAGTGAAATGTTTCAACCTAACAAGAAAGAAGTCCAGTTGCCATGACTCAACTTCCAGATACCTGTATGTCTTTCAATATTAGCTTTTTAATATCACCCAATTAGTATTTAATGTCATTTTAAAAGGGACACCATCAAAAATTGTTCCAGGTGAACATGTTCAAACACTCAAAGCAAAATAAGAAATTTACAAAGGAGACAGGTGCCAAGAGTCGTCAGCTGGAACTGTGAATTGTCATCTTCTAATCCGGCAATGGATATATAGTCTGTCTATTTTTGGCATCACAGCGAGCAAGAATAATAGGACATAGGACACAATAAGGGTATTTATAGCCATAACATAATGCTAGGGTCTGCTTACTTTAAATGAGTTCAGTTATTACATATAGAATTGGAAACACAGCAGTAACGACTGGTAGTCAATTACAGCTATCTATGCAGCAATTCTATTGTATTCTATTTACATCCACTTAAGAGAGTGTTCCATTGACATAAATGGAAATTCTGAGTAAGTATGCATGGAAAGGAGCTGCGTGTATTTCTTTCACAGCTATTTTTGTGCTTGGAGTATTCCCATGCATGATGAACCAAGTTAGATCCTCTTCTCTTTGTTTTTTTAACAGCACAGCTGCTTTTTGCTGTTCCCAGAAGCAATGCAGAGGGGTGGCCACAGCTGAGCGGTAGACAGACCACATCCTCTGCATACAGAAGGGCCCCAGCACCACCAGTTAAAATGAGCTCAGGCACCTGGACTAGGAAAAAAAACATGTGCCTATGATTTTGGAGGAATGTGTAAAATTAGCAGCAGGTTCTAAATCAATGGCTCCATATGCTCTTGGATGACAGCTTCTATAAGATCTGACTGGTCTGATCACTAACCATAGGCTGGGGACCATAATTGATCTTAAATTAATTCACTTTTAAAAAACAAATCCATCATACCCTCTTTATAACTCAGCATTTAAAATACGGACTTATTCGTTCTGCAAGCCCACTGAGAATCACAAATACGCACTAAAATCTGTTGCAAATTGTGCTTCCAGTTCCATCATTTATATTATTTATTCTGTTTAATTTATATACCACCTGATTGGTGAATTCACACTACGCTGGGCAGTGTGCAGCAAGCAAAACTCCACAAACCACCACCCGCTTCATCCCCATAATAACATAATCAAAATGGCACTATAACTGACTGAAACATGGTAAGCTACATAAAACCTAAAATTGTGATCCTATGCCTAAAAATTTACTTTGATTAATCTTCAAGACCTGTCAAATTAGGGTTCTTTTCTGCAGCAACAACAACAACAACAAAAAACCCATCTTATTGGCCATTTTATAACCTGCTGTCACTTATCACAGTCACCAAGATTTTTGCCTTGGAACATGACAGCCCATATCAATGCATCTCTTCAAGCAATGTTTTGTTGAATAAGGAGGTCTGGAGATACATCAGCTTAAATACCTATGGAATTAAATGGCAGGTGCAATTTGTCCATTTTTATGCTGACTGAGGTATTCTGGTTATTCTACTCCAAAAAGATAATAACTCTCATTTTGGGGCTGATTCACATATGTCTATACTTTACTTGGCCTATCAGACTCTTTACTTGATTCCTCAAAGGCTGATAGCTGGCAGCAAAAGTGGAATTTGTTCCATTGGAAAGAGTTGTGCTCCCTGGGAGAAAAGAAAGATCTGTGATGGTCCACGTATGGAGTCACAAACATTTTTTTAAAAGAATTAAAAATTCACACCGTTCTTTAAAGCAAATTTATGCAGTAGATACTATCAACAAGGGACCATCAGTAGAAGTCCATTACAACTCAAGATCTTTTCCACACGAAAACAGCTGCTAACATCCACAGGAGAGCATTTCTTTCTACTAGAGTCTAGCTTAAATTGTTAATGAGCACAAATCCATCTGCGTTAATTCTGTGAGGGCCTAAACCCAATAGCCAATCCCATTTTGAGCAGATATGTGGGATAAATGGGATTTACTTAAATGTTTATTTGTCACCACTTGGCTGTTGAGGTGGGGGATCTGTTAGTTGGGACTAGCAAATGGGCTGAAGCCAGTATGTCGGCAGGCTCCATTTTTGTGGAGAATACTTCCTAGAAAAAACATCTCATAACTTGATATTTTTGTAACAATCATTCCAAAGCCCAATTTCATGTACAACTTTGCTACCATGCATGCTTTTATATCACCGATACATACAATGTCTAAAATTTTTCCTTCAAGAAGAAATACAGTGGGGGCTTGACTTGAGAACTTAATCCGTATTGGAAGGTGGTTCTCAAGTCAAAAAGTTCTCAGGTCAAATCTGCATTTCCCGTAGTCATGTACAACTTTGCTACCATGCATGCTTTTATATCACCGATACATACACTGTCTAAATTTTTTCCTTCAAGAAGAAATAATGAACCCACAGAAAACCTCACATAAAATTTATTCAGCATATATCATATGTGTAATACGCATCATTTTTCCAGAGTTGGAAATGCTACATCACAGAAAACCACACATAAAATTTATTCAGCATATATCATATGTGTAATACGCATCATTTTTCCAGAGTTGGAAATGCTACACCCATAGGCTGGCTGAAGGACTCCAGTTTTCATTAAAAAAAAAATTTCCCCCCCAACTTCTATACTTTTCAAAAAACTAGTCGAAAAGCTGACAACAATAATTTCCACCCAGGGAATAAGAAGCTATTCCTTATATGAACCTGGAGAAGAATTTGTGTTGAGACTGACTTCTACTTGTGCCCTGTTGTTAGTTTCTGTCATCTCTGTTATACTTCAAGAACTGTTGAATGTGTTGAAAGATAGTATGTATGTGACTGCGTACCTTGACACTGGACTGGACAATTTGCAGCCTTCCAGATGCAGCTGAATTGTACAGAGGTACTAATCATATGTGTTATTGGGCCTTTGTATCCACAATGTAGACTACTGTAGGTCAGTAGACACTGTGTGCATAGATGGGTCCTGACAGGGGCAGGTCCTCCACCCCTGAAATTTTGGGGTGAGGTGCTCCCCTGCTCTGGTCCACGAGCTGCCATTGCCTCAGCAAACTGATATGTGCAAAGCAAACTAAACTTGAAGTGCATTATCATCTCTCTGTGCTCTATGTTACTTTCTCTTCCAGGAGAGGGTGAACATTCCAGCCCTCCAAAGGTGACCATATTTTCACCGTCTACACAGGAGCTCAAAGAAAAGAATAAAGCTACAATTGTGTGTTTGGTCACTGATTTCTACCCAGATCATATCATTCTTACCTGGTCTGTGAATGGCAAAGAAAGAAAAGGGGGTGTAAACACAGAGACACCCAAATTGGAATCCCCAGGCAAATATTCGCTGATCAGTCGTTTAAGAGTCACCAGCCAAGAGTGGCAGAATTCATATAACAAGTTTGACTGCAAAGTTAAGTTCTACGATGAGACTAAAGCATCATCCTATGAGGAGAGTATACATGGCATAGGTAAGTGAAAAGCTAGAAATTATAGGCAGGGCGGACTTGAAAACGCTCTGTGATAATGTTTTTATTCAAGGAAAATGTATAATTTATTTTGATGTAATTTCATCATATTAATGTAATTAGTGTAGCCAAATTACACAGTGGTACCCTGTGTGATGTACTGCAGTGGTCCCCAGCCTTGGGCCTCCAGATGTTCTTGGACTACAACTCCCAGGAGCCTTCACTACCACCTCTGCTGGCCAGGATTTCTGGGAGTTGAAGTCCAAGAACATCTGGAGGCCCAAGGTTGGGAACCACTGATGTACTGGACAGAGTGATTCAGGAGACCAGGGTTGGAATACCCACCCAGCCATGGAACTGGGGGTGTGGAAATGGTAAAACTACTCCTTAAATATCTCACTTAACTTGAAAGCCCTATTTAGGGTAGATAAAAGTTGGTTCCAACTTTATAACTCATAACTAATTTTATAAAAGGCACTGTTTTGCACCCAGGTTGCCCTCCTTCTGCACCAAGAAGCCAAATTCTGCAACACATATAAATTGCACAAATAGTGCCAATTAGTAAGTTTTATAATTTTCTCCACAATTTACTCAAGTTATGCATAAAAATGATGCATTTCTTGCCCTTGCCCTTCTAGACCCTGATCAGTCTTTATTCATTTTTCCCCCTCAGGCCAGATATAGATGTCAGAGAAAGTCTTTGACTGACAAATCCTTGACTAACATGAACATCTGACTATCACAGGACAATCGTTTCTCCTGACCAGAATTGTTCAAACTATCTTGCTCTCTCTGGTGATTGGTCTCCAGGAGTTCAGCATGGGATTCCTTTGGTGTTTTGTTTCACAAACATGAAAGGACTGCCTCAGTCACCTAACCACAACAGCAATATTAGCGTACCTCCAGGTCTAATTAAAGGCTATCTCTAATGTCTGTTTCTGGGCTAACACACCCATTAATGCTGAGGTGTAACACTCACAAAGAACACCCCCCCCCAGTAATTAGGCTTGAAATGACAGTGCAGGGGTTGACGGTATTATACCTGTCTATGCGGAGTCACAGTGTTAACTCTTCCTCCCCTAGCTGCAGCTCAATGTTTTCCACTATCCCACTACCATCTTTGGTTCTTCTTCAGATAAAGAGAGGATAGAAGGCTTTGGGTCTCTTGAGGAGCCTCCGCAAGTGGCATGCAACCCACAGGGATAGAAAGGGATAGAAAGTTCAGATTCCTAAAATCTTGAAATCTAGTACTACCCTGTTTCTCCAAAAATAAGACCTAACCTGAAAATAAGCCCTAGTAGGATTTTTCAGGATGCTCCTAATATAAGCCCTACCCCAAAAAATAAGCCCTAGTTAAGTGAAACCCCGCCCTCCACCATTGGGCAGCAACCAGAAGATGACACGACTGTATCTGAATAAATGTAGATGGTTGTACATGACAAAAAATAAAACATCCCCTGAAAATAAGCCCTAATGCATTTTTGGAGCAAAAATTAATATAAGACCCTGTCGTATTTTCAAGGAAACACAGTATGTCACATAACTGTGGATTTATTTTTATTTTATTTTTATTTTTTTGCACTCGGTGCATGCCCTATGTTTTCTCCATAGTACATATGCAGCCTTGGTTATTGCTTGTTGGACAAGATCTAAAACTATGAGTGTTTTGTTTTTTAAATACATGGATATATTCAATTTCTCAACACACTTTACTTCAAATCATTGTTTCATTCTTGTACTTTTTTTCCTGCTAATACTATTTCCTATTACATTCAGCCTATAACTCTGGCAATGTCTGTAGGGGTTCTTCAGTTGCATTCTTTTTAATCCTGTTGATAAATAACTCTTCTCCTCTACAGTTTCTGAAGTACAGTACATTGTGTCAACTGCAATAATTTTTAATATACCAACAAAATGCAGTGTTAAATGTTCCAAAACAAACGTCAAATTCTTTTCTTTCCAGTGGCATTTGGTTTATATGACATATCAGTGAAATACTGTTTCATTCTTTTTGCCCATAGCTTCTGATGCTAAAACTAATTATTTTTACTCTTGGGGATTTCGAGCCTTGCTTTAGAAGCCTTATGTTTTAACTTCATAAGCAGTTTAGAAACACTGTGATCTTGCCAACACCCTCGTGTCAACTTTGGTTCTGTAACCCTTATTAATAGCTCACGTGTACTCTTTTCCTCCTGCTTTCAGACTGTGATGGTGGCATTGACCAAACAAGAGGTAAGCCAAAATCACTTGGCTCTTGCTAAATTTATATATTTTTTGAAATTAAAAGATTCCACAGGACTTTCCCCCTCCCCAGAACAGAGGTCAATGTGTACAAATGAATTCTATATGGCTAGGACTCAGCAGGATAACATTATAATCACTCTAGGTTTCCAGAACAAGGTAGGAGCGGCCATTTTGCTATCTCGTATCAGAGGCTTCAGGCCGTAGGAGGCAAGGCAACCTTAGGTTTCCACTTTCAAAACTAGAGGCCTGAAGCACAGTAATACTGACTGTATAATGCAGATTCACAGGATCTGACTTCAAATGAGGACCAGTCATTCTGGCCTTGACGGGAGCTGGAATAGAACTATATCATGTCTGTAGAAGATGAGTTAGAACTCCTTCGCATCACTTTGAGAGAGAGAGACAGAGAGACAAAGATAACTTGTGGTTTCTGAGTAGCAGGGATCTTGGGTGGTGCTGCTATGAATGGGATTGCACCAACAATTATTGTTTTATTTTAACTAGAAATTTTCTTTTTTTAAAAAAACTGATGGGAGTAAAGCTGACCTTTAGAGGAAGAAATGATCATGCCACCAAATTCGGTGTTCACAAACCAGATGGCACATACACCCAGCAGTCTCTCTGCTGCAGGACACTTCAAATGCAGGTTGCATGGGCAAACAGAAACTAGGCTTTTGTAAGAAAATGTGCTAATTTGGACTAATAAAATAGCCATTGGGAAATAACTGGTATCCAGTTACAGATTCTCCACTCTCCAAAGCGTTTCTTGTTTTTTAAAAAAGGCTACTGAGTTTCAAATACGTTTCTGTACGCTGTGCTTTCTGGCTGACAAAACCCAATATTTCTGGGAGAAAATGCTTTGTTGGGGGAGGCATGGATTAGTTGGTTGCGATCAATTTTTTTTTTTCGTTTCTTGATTTTTAGAAACATATCTCAGGACAGCCAATCTTGGGAAACTGGTGTATATTCTTCTCATTTTCAAGAGTTTCTTGTATGGGGCATTTGTGATGGGCTGGAAGTTACGGAAAAAGGTAATATGCCATGTTGGTTCTTTATATCCTAAGAAAATGCTACACGTGGTGTTTTGCCGATAATGAGAATTCCTGTCCTATCTTTATCACAAGGCTGGTCAACTGCTGTTCACATTCTGTAACCCTGATTTATATCTTGACATGCATGTTTTGTAATGTACGTTGGTTCTGACTTACAGTGAGGTTTTTGAGGGATCTGATAGGTTCGAGAACTGGTTTACAACTGCCACCCCTACGACTTTCCATGGCCAAGCAAGGATTTGAACCTCCTAAATCTTAATACAGTACTCTATCCACACTGCATTGGCACTCCGAATTTATACCTCACCAGATAGAAGGCTGCCAGTGAGTTTGGAACAATCCAATCAGCTTTGCCAGAGATAGAGTTTAAAACGAACACTCTAGACTTGATTTTGCACTCTACATTTGGAAACTGGAACACACATCTAGCCTTGGTTTCTGGAAATCCTGTCTTGGTCGCCCTGTATGATGACCTACTGAGGGAGGTTGACAGGGGTAAAATATCTCTGTTGGTCCTCCTCGACATCTCAGCGGCCTTCAATACCATTGACCACGGTATCCTCCTGGGGAGGTTCTCTGAGTTGGGAATCGGTGGCCTGGTGCTTGCCCGGCTCCGTTCCTTCTTGGAGGACCGACCCCAGAGAGTACAGCTTGGGGAGAGTGTCTCAGCCCCGTGGAGTCTCAATTGTGGGGTTCCACGGGGTCGATTATCTCCCCAATGCTGTTTAACATCTATATGAGGCCACTGGGTGGGGTCATCAGGGGGTGTGGAGCATCGTGTCATCAGTATGATGACACCCAGCTCTACATCTCCTTTTCACCAACTGCAGGAGATGCCGTTCTGTCCCTCCAGCGCTGCCTGGGGGCCATACTGCAATGGATGCAGGAAAATGGGCTGAGGCTGAACCCGGATAAGACGGAGGTGCTGAGGGTGGGTGCCCCCACCATTGGCGGGTTGGGTGACTCCCTCTTGTTTGGGGGGTGACCCTGGTCGCAAAGAGTGGGGTCCGCAGCTTGGGGATCCATCTGGACCTGGCAATTACCATGGAGACTCAGGTGGCATCAGTGGTCCGTTCTGCCTTTTTCCATCTTTGGTGGATAGCCCGGCTACAACCCTATCTCAATGTGGGGGTGCTCACTACCTTGGTACATGCGCTTGTAATCTCAAGATTAGACCACTGCAATGTGCTCTACGTGGGGCTGCCTTTGAGGTTGATGCGGAAACTCCAGGTGGTGCAGAATGCGGTGGCCAGACTCCTTAGTGGAGTGAGAAAACACCAACATATTTCTCCTACTCTGGCCGCACTGCATTGGTTGCCCATTCAGTTCTGCATAGACTTCAAAGTCCTGATGCTTACGTATAAACCCTAAACGGTTTAGTACCTCGATACTTGGTGGAACATCTACTCCCACCAAGCTCTACCCATGTCACTCGCGCGAGCCAGGAGGTGAGGCTGAGGAGCCTGATGCTGAGGGAGGCCCAGAAGGAAAAAACAAGAAACCGGGCCTTCTTGGCGGTGGCTCCTCACCTCTGGAACAACCTCCCTCCAGAGATTCGTGCTGCCCCGTTGCTAGGTATTTTTAAAAGCCAACTAAAAACTTGGATGTTCAGGCAGGCCTACCCCTCCAGTTAATATTTATTTCCTCTCTTCTCCTTTCTTTGTGGTTTATTTTTCATTTTTTCCACAACTGGAAGCTTTTACTATTCAGTGTAATAACTTAAAAAAAATTATTATTGTTGTACTATTGTATTATGATTTTGTAAGCCACCTAGAGTGGTCATATTGACTAGATAGGCGGGATATTAATTAATTAATTAATTAATTAATTAATTAATTAATTAATTAATTAATTAATTAATTAATTAATTAATTAATTAAATAAATAAATAAATAAATAAATAAATAAATTTCTTCTGAACCATCCACAGATAAGTGGTGCCCAGCCTGATGAAGGTCCCCTATGGACCTAAAGCTAGCATTTGTTTATGATTTTTCACTGGTTTAATGGAAGTATCACCTACCCTTGCCTTTAGATTATGTAGTACAAGGACCACACAGCTTTTTACCTTTTGTTGTTTCACGTACTGATGTTTTCCTAAGAGGGAAAGATTTAAAAACAGGAATCTTCTTATTCCATTGGTGTGTTTCACATTTACAAATCATGAGTGTGTTTTCAGGATCTCTTAACACCTGAGGCACAACTAACCTTGTTTACATTTTTTTAAACAAACCAAACCAAAACGCAATTGGCCTTTGTACAATTTTTTTTAAAAGAATGGGCAATCGATTTATTAGACCACAAAATTTTCAAAAACAAAGAAGTTGTCAGTCTTGCAAGGCTGTCCCTTGGGTTGAGCATTGCTGAGCTGAAGGCCATGGAGGAGGATCAGAAAATCCAGAAATCATTCCGGCCAGAGATTGAGGCTTCAGAAACTCAGCGTTTAAAGTAAAGTCCCCAAATGGAGGTTACAGCCTGGTAGAACCAGCTTGAGATACCAGGTTTCATCTCAGGCTATACAAACAGTATTCTATTTTTCCATGTTGACAGGCAAAAGGACTGCCACTCATTCAGTGCCATCTCCATTGCTTTGTATTGACACAAATAGCTGAGCACCCTGATTCTCTTACTGTGCTGATTACAGTGTTGCCTCGCTAGACGATGATAATCCGTTCCACTGAAATCGCTGTTTAGCGAAATCATTGTCTAGCGAAAAGCATTTCCCCATTGGAATGCACTGAAACCTGTTTAATGCATTCCAACGGGGAAGAATTGTCATTGTCTAGCGAAGATCAGCCATAGAAAAGCTGCTTTGTGAACCGCCTATCAGCTGTGTAAATCGCTGTCTTGCGAAGCTTAGGTCTCGAAAACACCTGTTTTGCGAGTGCAGAGGAAGCTGTCAAAATTGTCATCTAGCAAAAATCGGTTTGCAAAGCATTGTCCAGCAAAATTCCCCCATAGAAATTGTTACATACAGCACTGATGTTACCTGTCTGTCATGGGTTTGGAGGGAAAGTTCCATCCTATGGGGAGTGGAAGGCGGGACATCAGGAGGAGGGGCTGTACTGTATATATATGTGAAGCCTGTGTGGAGAAGCTGGAGAAGCTGGAGGAAGAGCTGAGAGAAGAAGCTTGAGTGGGAGTCTGTGTGTCAGACAGGGTACTACTGTGTGTCAGTCAGTACCAACCTGATAGGTTCAGGTGTCTGTATGGTTAGCCAGAACTGATAGGTTCAGGGTCTGTGCTTCAAGTTAAGTGTTCTGTGTGAACCAAACTGTATGCATGTATGAATGAGACTAAGCCACGTTACTATTTCTTATTCACCTGATCATTTTATTTTCCCTGTGTGTTGTTTTAAATAAACCTTATTCTTTTATTTGTTGAAAATCCATCCCTGGTCTGTGTGACTTCTTACAGGGAATGGTTGGTGGCAGCTTAGTGAAACTGTGGCATATCCCAGTAGGTCTGGGTTTGTCACATTGATTGGTGTCCAGCGTGTGGGATACGACTGGTCCAGTTGTCCAGTGGTCCAGCAAAGCCTTGGCAAGTGTGCCCAGAGCAAGGGGGGTCTAGTCAGGGACAATCTGAGAGCGCGTAGGTAATCTTCTAGGTGT